AAACTAGGCAGTGGTCTGTTTCAGTTGGAGAGGTTTACGCACAGGCTTATTATATATGTCTCAATGAGATTTTTTAAAGTGATGCTTTGTAGACAGTGCCCCTCCCATCTGTGGAAACCCTGCCATTATCCCTCAGTTTCCCTCATGGCAGTGCAAAAGCAAATAGCAGATAGTAGCACCCTCCGACGCGCATCAGCTGCGCTATGTCTCCAAGCGCCTCCCTGAGAAGGAGTTCGTTCCACTGCGCACGAGAGGCTCACGGGGTTGTTGTGAAGATAGCAAGGGGGAGAGGAGGACCGTGTGCAACGCCTTGAGCTCCTTGGAGGAAAAGGAGGGATATAAATGTAAGAAATAAAATAAACAAACAAATGATAATTGATAGGTTTCAGCTGACGGCGACGGGGAGGGAGGCGCCCGGATCACAACCAGAGGCGCTTTACGAAGCCACGCAGCCAGAGCCCTTTTCAGCAGAGGAGCCCCAAGCCTCATGTGCTCCTACTTCCCGGGGAACACAGACAACTAACTACCTTTCACCGAGACTATGAGCCCATTGAGTTCAGTATTGCCTACACTAGCTTGCAGCTGCCAGCGGTGCTTTCTCCGTGGTACTTTCAGGGAAGCGGGGCGGAGGTCTCAGCCACAGAGGGAGATTGAATTTGAACCTGCAGGCAAAGCAGACGCTGAGCCAAGGCCCTTTCCTTCCAAGACGAGATGGGCTGTTTCGCCTGCTCCAGCAGGGCTCTTCTGGAGACGTAAACCCCATTCAATGCTTCAGCGTGAGAATGCGCGCGGGACTGGGGTGTTGGAGCTTGTACTTGGGTAATATTTTTGAAAATGCAAAAATGAAGATTATACAATGAATCTCTTCCCCCACCCACGACCGATTCAATTTCAAAGAGCCCCCAAGGTATAATAATAGGATCGTGCACCTAATATATAATAGAAAATAATTATCATGGCGTCTCCCATCTTCCCTCTAACGACCTGGTGGGTGGCGTTATACCCGAGGGTCCTGCTCCCCCAATCTTTCGTCTCTTTTTGTCCACCTCTTCAAGAGTAAAGGAAACTTCTGGACAGCTGAAACCATGGCGACACCGCACGGCGCGGGGGGGGGGATCTTAATTTTAAGGCACAGAGCTGGTGGGATTCCTCCCCCATACACACTGAGATGCGTTCATTGCCGAAGCGGTTCGCTTTGCAGACATCCTCACCCCCTTTGATGGTGTATCAGCGCGTAAAGAAGACGTGCGGGGCTGCGGGCCCTACATTGGGTCAAGGGCCACATTCCTTTTTTTGGCCATCTTGCCGGGGCCATATTCGAAACAAAAATGCGTGTAAATTTTCCCTTTTGGTAGCTTCTACACTGGCGCCTCGCTCTAGCCTCCCTCCAGGCAAACAAGAGGCACGTTCCTGCCATGCAAATGAGCTCAAGGGAGAGCGCGAAGTAAGGCTGGTGGGTTTGACTGGGGAAGGAATGTCGCGAGGGCCAGACAAAGGGGTTGCGAGGGCCACATCTGGCCCACAGGCCTGAACTTCCCCGATTCTGGCTTAAAGATTAAGCTAAACGTGACCAGCCTTCCTGGAGAGCGTAGTTTTTGACGCGCCCAGTAACTAATGAAGTCGCATGAGCAAAGCATATACTGTACAGTGGTACCTCGGGTTAAGTACTTAGTTTGTTCCGGAGGTCCCTTCTTAACCTGAAACTGTTCTTAACCTGAAGCACCACTTTAGCTAATGGGGCCTCCTGCTGCCGCTGCGCCGCCGGAGCACGATTTCTGTTCTCATCCTGAAGCAAAGTTCTTAACCTGAAGCACTATTTCTGGGTTAGCAGAGTCTGTAACCTGAAGCGTATGTAACCTAAAGCGTATGTAACCTGAAGCGTATGTAACCTGAGGTACCACTGTACAAATTAATATAGAGCTTCTTTCTTTCTTTCTTTCTTTCTTTCTTTCTTTCTTTCTTTCTTTCTTTCTTTCTTTCTTCAAAGCTAGTGGGCTTAGGGATGCAGAGCGATCCCGTCCATTCATCCCTTCCATCATCAGGACAGAAAGGGAGAGAGAGATTTCAACTGCAATGGAGTAGGAATTCACGTGCGCCATGGGGCAGGGGTGCCAACTTGAATAGAATATTTGGGGGGGTAAGCCCCGCCCTGCATAATCGATCACAAGATGCAGTGCTCACACACCAATTGAATGGCAATACCCATCAACTGGGGTGGGGGCGGGGTGGCTGGTCCTCTCAGATATTTTATTGGGGAGGCTAAGGCCCCTCGGCCCCTAGGAGTTGGCTTCCATGCGATGTGGAATTTGGGGGGGGGAGTATTTAAAGACTACAGTATTTGGGGGCGAGGGTCTTTGACGGAAACCAGAGGAATATGACACAGAAGTTGGATTAGGGCTCGGGACCAGATTCTAAGCGCCACCTGAGAAGAGGTGGGTTTCTCCGAAGAACCCCTTTGTATCCATCCTATGACAGAAGTAAATGAAACTGAGCCTATTAACTTGGCCTGAAGCAAACCTCCTCTCTCTCTCATCCATATTTGGGAAACTCTCGATCTTGTCTCAAGGCCGTGACGACTGAGAGAAGGGAAGGGGGCTTGGGCAACGCGATGTGCTCCCCGCACCCCACACCAGAGCGCCTTCTGTGCCTTGGCGCAAAGGCGGTATGCAAAGCGCGTTTGACAAATAGGTGGGTTAAACAACTTTCCCCCGCAGGGAGGGAGAGCGAGAATGCAGTCCAGGCCAGATCATCACAACAATAAAGTTGCGGAAGCCAACTGCGCTGCTGCCCCGGTCGCGGGCTTTACTTTTTGTCTAAGCAGGAAAAAAAAATTCAGGTTGCCTTGCGCTGGTTGATGCAAGGCGGTTTGCGTAACCGGATTTCGCCACAGCATGCTCCGAAGGAAATTTAATGGGACTTGCTCTAAATAAAATGTCCATTCACATCGTTGTTGGTGCGGACCCAGCTTGGTACAATGTCAAGCGATTGTCACTGATTTCATTGGGCCCAGTATACCTGAAGGAGCGTCTCCACCCCCATCGTTCAGCCCGGACAGTGAGGTTCCCTCACTGCGAGAAGTGAGGTTACAGGGAACCAGGCAGAGGGCCTTCTCGGTGGTGGCGCCCACCCTGTGGAAAGCCCTCTCATCATATGTCAAGGAAATAAATCAACTATCTGACCTTTAGAAGACATCTGAAGGCAGCCCTGTTTAGGGAAGTTTTTAATGTTTGATGTTTTGTTGTATTTTATTATTTTGTTGAAAGCCGCCCAGAGTGGCTGGGGAAACCTAGCCAGGTGGGCGGGGTATTTATTATTATTATTATTATTATTATTATTATTATTATTAATTATGAGTGGGATGGAGGAGAGCACAAGGCAGCTCTGCCTTTCCCTGGACCAGGCCTCACCTGGTATGGAGGGTGGAGGGGCTTTCTTTATTTTCGTTTCCACCCTCTAATAATTTTTAATGACTTCAAATATATATATATAGGGCAGACTTAAGAAAATCCAGTTACAGGGACAGATTGCAGAATACCTAGTTTGGAATCGGACCAGATACATTGTCTTAGAAGAGTGGTTCCCAGTTATGTGTGATGATTGAATCAGTGTAGCTCCTCTAAAGCAAGTTGTGGGGGCTGAGAATCTCGAGTCCCCATTAATAAAGGGAAGAAGAAGAAGGCGTGATGTGGGGGGGGGGGGGGAGAGAACCACACTCCCCTGAGCGCTCAGACAGAGCAGACATGGTTGAAATCTGCCTCTTTAAGGGAACAATATGAAGTCCACTGTTGAGCAACTACCATCGGAGCCGCCACCAGTAAGAGAAGCGAGACTTGTTTTCTGTGTTGCCTCTCTAAGGCTCCTGAACCGAACTTTGCCTCAGGTGGAGAATGTCCGATGTAATCTGGGATGACACGGGGACTCTCCTCCAAGTCCAAGACGGCAAATGTGTGTGGGGTGCGGGACAAGCCGTGAGCCCTTGGGATTTATTTGTGAAAGGGTTTGGCAGGACCAGAAAACTGAGAAACACGCGGTATGTTGTGAACCGCCCTGGGATTTTAGGATGAAAGGCGGTATACAAAGTTAATACATAATAATATCAATAACATCTATAGCTATCTCTTGGAACAACAACAGGACATATAGATACATCACACACGCCACGCCACGCCCTGCTGTCCTTGTTCCAGGAGATGGGGCTACTTTGTGGCTGCTACGACTGTTGTAGAAAAGAATTAGCAGGAAGGGAGAGAAAATTAAGATTAAACCGACAATAACGCAGTGTTTTTCACAATCAACATTTTCCTCTTCCAGATCGTCCCCCCTTTCACTTGACAGTCATGGGCTAGAATGGAACAAAACGCCATCCTGCCTGCTAATTTTTGGGTTTAACCTAGGCATGTTGACTCGGGAGTAAACCCGGCTACATCCCGTGCGTGTGACTCCATGGACGTGTGCCCGGCATTATCATTATCAGTAGTGGTAGCAGCATTTATTAATTTTGTGTACCGCCCTTTATCCGTAGATCTCAGGGCGGACCGCGCAGCCTTACAGCGCAGCCCTAGGCATGTCTACTCAGAAGTAAATCCGCGGGAGTTCGACGGGGCTTGCTCCTAGGGAAGCGAGCCGGCAAGCTTTCCCTTGTGGAAAGAAAGTCTCCTTTAACCCTCTCTGCGCAAACCAAGCCGCCAGGTTCAATAAATTTGAAACAAATGAAAAATTTCACTCTGTGGGGTCTAATCCTGAACACGCACACAGTCATCTAATAGTAAAAGTCCCGTTGCCTTGCATAAGATCCGGAAAGGATTCTGGGACACCCATGCCTCCAAAGGGTTAAATACTCGCAACCCCTCCATCATAGAGACCCACCCCCTGCTGCATACAAAATTGCTCTGTTTTAGTCAGTCTCTACACCTTTGGTTTGTTTTCATCCCTCTCTGACTTTTTGGTTGACGTGTTAATTTCATCCTGTGCCAATTTCTGCTCCAAGATTCTAGTCCCTTGGGTTCTTCCGGACTTTCTCTCTCTCTCTCTCTCTCTCTCTCTCTCTGTGTGTGTGTGTGTGTGTGTGTGTGTGAGAGAGAGAGAGAGAGAGAGAGAGAGAGAGAGAGTCATTCTTCGTACACGCTAAACCTTGATCTTTGAAGAATTCCCACTAACCCCCACCCTTCCAGCTTTAGGAACAACTCCCCCCTCAATCCTATCCCCGAGTACAGGCGACCCATCCGCCACTGCAGGCAGAATGACCCAGGGATACCTAAACCATCTCCCAGCCGCTGCCGTGGCTCGCGGTTGCCACATTTTGCATACATGGTAATGAGAGTCTAATTGAGCGGCCGTGCAGCTCGCGTTCTCATGGAGCTGTTCAAACCATCTCCAGCCGCCTTTGGCCCAAGATATCTCTGCTCCCCTGGATATGCGCCAGGAGGACCTGACAGCTTTTACACCTCCTCGAAAATACAGGTGCAACACGCCTATGGGGGGGGTGAGGGGGCAGAAGATCTACTGGTGATTCTGTGGCAAATTACCAAGGGGCCGGATTCTCAGTTGTCTAATAAGCGCTACCCTCCCCCCCAAAAAACCGGCTGTTGAAATGGAGAAATCTGGTGGGGAGAGGCAAAAGTGAATTTTTCGTGTGACTCGTGAGCTCCGTTCTGGTCCAGGAAAAAATAAAAATAAATTCCTGACCGAGGTTAAGCATATGCTCAGAGGCGCCCTGGCCTTTAAGTCTATGCTGCGCTGTTTTGCATCTGGCTCCGTTGAGAAGCGGGGAACTTGGGTTTTTTGGGACACGCACGCACAGAGAATAGATCTCCCAAGCTCGCCCCGGATGCCAGCTTCCTCCGAAGGCTTCTGCGGGGTCCTCCGCTTACACGTATCCTGCCAGAATAAGCGGGGAGCCCCCTCCCCCCACGACATCATCTTCAAATCCGTCTCCGTTTATAAAATAAAAAAATATTAAAAGGATTGCTTTCTCGTTAGAGGATCAAAGAGGCAGGGGAGAAGCAGGAGGGAGAAATTAATCTGAATTAATTAAAAAAAGAAATATATTTTAAAGCTAGAGACCTGTCCCAGTGAAAATGACTCCTAAAAATCTCCACGCCAACCTTTCAGAGTCGTGCAGGGGTAAGGAATGGATCCTGATCTTTTGGTAAGCTGTGGGAAAGGCTGGAGGCCACAAGAATATGAGAAAAATATATTTAAAACAACAGCGGGAGAGGCAAAGCTGAATTTTCCGGGGGGGGGGGGGAATGCAGAATAAAGCCCCTCTTTGGGATTTTAATATTCCGCTTATGCTATTTTAGTCATTCATTTGTTTTAAAGGGAGAAAAACTGGGAGGGTGGTGTGGTGGGTTTTTTTGCCTATTGCGTAAAATGGATGGCGTTTGTTGCCACACACAAACACACACACACACACGAAATTATCTTTACCAATCGGGAGAAATGACAATAGATGTATAATCAGAATAATGAGCTCAGAGGCGGAGATGGGATGCTTGCGAATTTATTTGGGGGGGGGGGGAGAGGAAGAAGGAAGTGTGTGTGTGTGTGTGTGTGAGAGAGAGAGAGAGAGAGAGAGAGGCAATCAGGAGGTGTCTAATTATAATTGCCCCCCTCTCTTAGATTCTTTTCTGCTAATGAGCATTTTCCTAGGGTGGGGGGGAAGGAGGAGGAGAGCAGGGCGACCCACGTGGTGGCGGCTGCCAACGCCGCGTTTAAATCAAGCCCTGTGGAGGAATTGAACAAAAGGTAGCGCGCCTTGGTTTGCTGGACACGTCTGAGGCCAGACAAGAAAGCCCAATTTATTGGGGTTGGTGAGAACTTCATCGTCATCATAATTCTTTTTTTAAAAAAATCATGCTCAAGGAAAGACTGGAGAGGGGGCACCAACATTTGTCTCCCCCAAATGATGGAGAGGTCCAGAATCCGATGTGTGTCTCCGAACTAGTCACTGGCTGATGCTCCATCAATAAAACTTTGGGGTATATTTTTTTGGGGGGGAGGGGGAGGGGAATCCCCCATAACTTTAAACGCGGGCTCATTTTTAATATGGTGGTTTAACCCGCCCCGGGATCTTAGGGTGAATAGCTGGTAATTCATACAAATAATAATAACAATAACGTACATAAAAATCAGCGTTTTTATAAATAATAATAATAAAAAACAATCTAAAATACAATTTTGATTTTAGTAATAATTCTTAGAGCAGGAGTGAAACGATGGGCTTTTTAGCACGGACTATTCCACCATATATATATATAGAGAGAGAGAGAGAGAGAGAGAGAGAGGGAATATATATGGGGGGGGGGGGGAGAGAGAGAAATGAAGAGAGAACTCAATAGAACTGCCATGGCCAGAGGCAGTCTACCCGTGGGTCCCAGCTGCCGGGGATTCACGCCCTGCTTACGGGCTCCCCCGGAGGCATCCGGTCTCCCGTCGAAATGTGGGGAAGACTTTGCAATTGCGCTGTCCGTGGGCTGATGCGCCAGGCAGGCGGTGCTGCGTCCCTACGGGGAGCGTGTTTGGAGGGGGGGCGCAGAGGATTCTAAGGTCACGTGCAGAGTTTTCTCGGAAGCCAGCTTCAAGGACTGCAGTGGGATCTACTCTCGAGGAAGCCTGCAGAAGGTGGCAAGCTGGCTTGGGAAGAAGCCCCATGAAACTGAGAGCAGGGCTGACTTAAGAATAAAACGTTGACTAGGACCAGGCAGAACGTTTTGGCCTTAGAATACAAACCCCGCCCCGCCCCTCCACACACACATACACACACTTCCTCCTCGCGAGTAAGTCCCATTAAGCCTAGTGGGAAAGGCTTCTGAATACAACAAGCAGAAGACCTGGCCTCTGTGTTTGTGTGTTTCTGTGTGTAATGTAAAAACAAGAGACAAAGATCAGGTTGACATGATTCTATGACATGTTCTATGACATGTTCCCTTAGTTTAATGGGGCTTAATAGCAAGCAAAGTTGCAATCCTGCGCACAATTTCTGAAGCCTAGATCCTGTCGTTATCAGGCCATCTCCCACGGAGTCCTACTCAGAGTAGACACTTTGCAACCCATGGCATCGTCTCTTGGTTTCGTGGAGTCTGCTCTGAATAGGACTTAGTTGGATTCTTACTTGGTCAAGTAATTTTAAAAGCGAAACTCCTCGCCGAGGAGCGTGGAGGGGCTTGGCGCTTGCGGGGCGGTGTGTGTGGTGTGGTCGGAGATTGCTTGTTGTCCCCCAGAGTGTGTGTGATGCAAAAAAGTATTAGACTTTGGGAATTGGGGGCCGGGGGCTGTCTGATCTGTGGCTGACAATGAACTTGAGACAGCCTGCTCGCCCATTCTCAAGTTCAGCTCTTATTTTCGGTTCCCAGGCATTGTGAGGTTTAGGACGTGCCGGGGGTGGGGGGAAACGGGGAGGAGGGAATGAATTAATTGCCCATTTTCTACGGGCCGTTAGATTCTGCTGTTTTGTGGAGAAATCTGCCTTGGAAACCAGACTGCCTAAGAAAACGCACCATCTATTCTGTGAAGTTGATATTCTCCCCCCACACCAACACCACAAACACCCCAGAGAAGGAGGGGGCAGTGAAATCTCAGCTCATTGGCTCCTTGGAACAGGGGAGGGGGCAGAGATTTGCAACCCCCCAGGGGCATCTCTCCTCACCCCTCTCTTCCAGTCTAGACGTTCAGTCTTATGTGTTTTCCTAACGCCTCTATTCAGAGCGAGGCGTTGGAGATGATATTATGATGGAAATTTCGGTGTGTGCTACCCTCTCGCCAGCCCCAGTCTGGAAAACGCCACTTGGGAAGGAGAGAGGAGGGACAGAGGGACAATTGAGCCGCCACATTTCCACGGTCTTGGATCTGACCCAGACACATTCCTAGACTTAAAGAGCGGGGGAAGGGAGAGCTTGGCAAATACGTGTTTATTTTTATTTATTTATTTCATTTTAACTGCTCACACATCTCCTTTTCCATTAAAATGTTTCATCTGTCTATCTAGCTATCTGTCTTCACCGCAAACAAGCTGCCTGACTCTCCTTCCTTGGAGGCGGATGACCACCTGTCAGGGATTCCTGAGCTGTGTGAGTCCTGCATTGCAGGGGGTTGGGCTGGATGACCTTTGGGGGTCCCATCTAACTCTACCTTTCTATGATTCCATGTCCCAAAACAAGCCCGTCAAGGGGAATGCAATGGAAAGATTTCTGGTTCCTGGAAGAAGCAGTTTTGATGCTGGAAATGGCTCTAGAACAGCTTTTCTCATAAGAACATAACAACAGCGGGCTGGTTTAGGCCAATGGCCCACTTGGTTCAGCATTCTGTTATCCAAGCAGTTAACCCCAGGCCAGTGGGAAACTCGCAAGAGGTCCCACTTTCCCTTCCTTTGGCTTCCAGCTTCCAGTAATCAGAACCTACACAGCCTCCATCCGTGGAGGCGGAAGAGGATAGAGATCATGGCCAGTAGTCCCTGACGCGCCCTCTCCTCCATGGACCTGTCCAATTCTCTTTTAAAGCCATCCCAGTCGGTTACTATCACTGCCTCCTGCGACAGCGAGTTCCATAGTTTATGCGCTGCGTGAAGGAGGACTTCCTTTGACCTCTCCCGGCTCTTCTCTGATTTTCGAACCAGACAATCCAGCGAAGTCCAAGGGTACTCAATTGCTCCGTTCAGGGTGAAGAAAAATTTGAAACTGGAGATGGCACCATTAACTGATGGGTACAGGAGTCCCTTTACCTTTACCTTACAGGAGTAAACCCAGTACTTTCTGGGAATAAGCCTTCCATGAAGTCTGTAGGGCTTAAACTCTGGGTAAAAAGGGGCGGAGGGGTTAGGGACTCTGCTTACTCTCTGGCGCCTCTGGAGTAAAGGAAGCAGGGTCTCTAAAGCAGGATGCAATGGCCTATGTACGTATGTATGTGTGTGTATATTGATGGATGGATGGGTTGAATTTGTATACCGCCTTTCACCCGAAGATCCCAGGGCGGTTCACAACAGAAAACTACAAAATGAGAATACAAAATACGTAAGATCTGAAGTCGGTCAAAATTAATAAACATTTGTGCCACCCAATTAGAGATAAGCACTTCAGACTGCACGATTTAAATCGGTGAGATTTTGGGGGAAGGGCTTGAGCGCT